CGTGGCTGGCTTGAAATCTGGTCTGCCTCTCCTTTCTGGGAATGCCTTCCCTCCTGAATTTTGCCCTTCTCTCCCATCACTCCTCAGAGGTTTCTCTGCACCCTCCCTCCATTTCTGGATTACTGTTCTGCTGGGCTTTACAAGTCTATCTTTTTCTCCACATTGAAATCTATCTCTGGAGAGTTTCTTCACAAGCCCAAATGATGACGTGATAAAAAAAGTTAAAATCATGTAAAAAATAAAATCAGGGACTTAACTGAGCAAGAATTCATTGCAGTTTCTCAGTTTATTCTGGCTTCAATTCTGCTCAGGAATTTATTTTTTTTTAACCTTAAAAGTTTTTGTACAATAAAGAAATCACTTCCACTCTGACAGAGTCTTATTTCCATGATTTCATATTTATCAATTGCTGCTCTTTAAAACTTTGAGGAAAATATCACTAACCTGGCCCCCTTCATTCAAGGTTGTCAGCAACATTTTGGACTTAGACTCAAGAGGCCACCATGGTGCTCAGTCACCCACAGCACTGCAGCTTTTAAGCCTGGAAGATGTTCTTGAGCATCCAACTGGATGATCAGTAGTGATTTTGTGCTGCTCAGCTTTACGCAGCTGGAAGAGACCTTGGTTTTAGAGACAGGTGCTTAGAGCTTTCTGCAGACCAAGTGTTCATAAGTGTTTCATTGCTGACCATCCATAACCCCTCAGTCACCTAGGGGGCATCAAAATCATTGCCCTCCCATAGCCTGCTCTGATGTGCTACAGAATTCCCCTAAAAGCTTGTTATGTAAATTCAAGCCCGCCTGGAGTTTTTATTCCCTCCGCAGCCTATTCAACCTCTCTCTGAGTCCTCACATCCGCGCTCTCAATACATTTTACTAATTCCTTCTGCACCCTGTCTCTACAAGGTTGTCTCTCTCATCTATTTATGCATAGATTTTCATCAGGGTAACACCAGCTCCTTCAGCTTCCAGAGGTACAATCTAGAGCTGCTTTCAGAACATGGATTGTTCCAGCCCAACACCTCACCGGCACTTTTTCTAGGATATCAAACATTAACTACCTTTATTTCCAAGATGCTTGATTCACGAATGTACTTACCCTAAGTTGTTTTTTTCCCTCTAATTACTGAGGACACAATACCACCTTCCAGTTTTCCAATAGCAGCAGAACTTAAAAATCCACAAAGTTCAAAGTAACTGCTGTGGCATTTTTTTATATAATAAACAAATTGGTAACAGTTTTGATTTCTTTCCTCAGCAACTCAGAGTTAAAATAGCAACAGAAAGAACATAAGCAATTCAGCGTCTGTCTCAGGTGAACAGGACATTACAAAAGATTTGACAATTTGACAATTTTCAGTGCAAGTTTTAAGTAGTTTTAAGAACCTACAGTTTAGTTTGTACGTCCTTTCAATTCAGAAAGTCACTGTATTCTACAGGCTCAAACAATGCACAAAAAGGGCTACAAACATTTTAGAAGAGTTGACTTGATTAGTATTTATGAACATATTAAGGACATTACGTATTATACCAGCACACATACGGAGCAAGAATACAATATTTTACTGTTCACTGGGATTTTATTGGACATTAACAAACACCTCTGCTATGCTGCACAGCTTGATTCTTTAGCCACCCAGGAAGGTTAGTAATAAAGATAAATAAATCTAGTACATGCCCTGAAATATCTTAGTGTAATTAGAGTATGATTCTTAAAGGTGTGGCATTAACATCCTCAGCTTATTCTGGAAACTGGCAGAAGATGCAGATTTTTGTCTGCTATTCCAAACATTCAGGCCACCTGGTATCTACAGGTATACTACGCAGCTCTTTCTCCCGCTAGCCAGATTTCTAACATGAAGCCCGTGTGGATGGCTGTGGCAGAAGTCATTCTAACTCCTTCACACACATAAAATGCAAGTTGGAAAATAGTCCTGATTTTTTCAACAGCGACAGGAACTTGCAACAACTAATTCATCTGCAAAGTATTATTCAGCCAGAACAGAGTAAAAACACTGTTTGGTTTTGCAGTTTGACCAGCTGTCACCTGAGCTTCAAAAGGGAAGCACTGTTCTCCTCCCTCCTTCCAGCTGCTGCACTCTGTAGACAATGGAGCCTGTTTCAAGTTTTATTTTTATTTTAAAAGCTTTAGGCAAAATTCTACTCTCAGATCTGCAGAGAGCATCACAACAGAGATGTTCTGCTCTCCTCATCTATTGTCCTGGGAGCCGCTGCCATGTGGGGAGAGCACATGGGGGAGTAAGACCTTTTGGACAGACTGAAGAGCACTGAACGCAATGCAAAAAGGTAACTCACCACCAGACTCGGAAGCTTCAGCAAACCACACAACTCTCACCTTGCTGTACTTTGCTCAGATGTGAAGGAGATGCCTCTGTGGTTTTAAGCAAAAAATAATCGTGGAATGAAGCACATTGTCTGTGAGGGGGAAATGAGACTTCTCCATCTAACACCTCTTCAGAAACTCACTGGCTTTTGCCCCAAAGGCTCAATGGCATCATAGCACTTAAGAATATTGTTGTACACATCAGTACTGGGAAAGATTCAAATGACAATCCTCATCACTATTAAGTATTAATCAGTCAGCAAGGTCCAGAGCCCAAAATATAACTTTGCTGGTTTATTGTATACAGATAAGCTCCTGCTACCACCCCATATGCTCTCATTGCTCTTGGTGAAGCTGAGGATATATAAACCCAACGGCACCTTTAGCATGAAGATGACAGATCCTCACAGCTACCAGTGAGACTTGCAACTTTACCTCTCTTTACTGTGGTGGCACAAACACAACCATGAGAAAGACCCTTGTTCAAGTAATATTACACTGCGAACATGTAAAAATGGGTTTCTGGGATTTCAAGTCATTTGTGTGTGCAGAAGCATCAGTTAAATTCACATCATAGTTCTAGATTTGCTTCTCCTCAAATTACTAGCACACTCAATGTCAGCATGTGGATTATTCTGATGCTCTCTAAAGATGGTTTGAAAGTAGACTTGCATGTATGACTGTGCATACACACACTTGCTGAGGCTAACGCATAGGATGTTTCTCAGACCAGAGGCAGAGATTGTTCTAAACCTGATTTTACAGATAGGGAGAAGAAACATAAAGGAGAAATGATCTAACAGGGGACAAAAAGGAAAGAACGTGTAAGTGTGGAAGTTCTACCCAGATTTCTGGATCACAATTTAATAGCCCAGTGTGACAAAAATATTTTTCTGTCAACTTTTGGATGAATATAATTTGAAATCTTTAAACCTGGAACAAAACTAGAGGCTATCTACATTTGATTGCAGAAAAACAATCTATGAGAACTTTCCATTTTTGTTTTTGCTTCTGGAACACCTGATATATAGAAGTGCTCTACTTAAAAAAAAAAAGTATGATTAAATGTATTCTTCCACATTATATATATTTTATCCAGTAACAGAAAGCAATATTTTAACAGCACTGCGTTTGAATCCCTCCAGAGCATTCAGCAGGAGTCAATTTATACTGCAAGAGAATAATGATGTACCTCAACTCATTTTAATTTCAATAATTGAATGAGAAATAGGAAAGCCTATTGAAAGAACTGTATTCTGGTCAAAGACTAATGAGAAAATAGTTTTGAGTCTCTGAGTCAGCGGGTGTCATGGTAACAATGCATTATCGAAATCTGATTAGCATGCCCAGCAGCTTTACAAGTGATAACATACTCTTCTAATTGTATTTTCCTTTCTTTCCCTGTGATGAGTTTTATATTCATGACAGGTAAGAGGTAAGGCAGCATTCTGTTTATCCGCAAGTTACACTTTAGATGTCCAGCATGCTCACAAACTCTGAGCAACCTGTCATTCAGTAATAGAAAAATTTTCCTACCATCTTCAAATAAGAAGCTGAGCCTTCCATTTCTCTCCTCCTGTTTTACATGTAGTTAAGGCAAATATTATTCTCTTAAATATATAAAATTATTTCTAAGAATGTACACATGAAAAAGCAAACACTGAACCACAAGCATCTTAAGAAGATGCCAGAAAAGAGTAAGTTCATGTTTAATTCATACCAGAAAGTATGATGCATGTTCTTGAGGTTTTGAAAACAGGGAGGGGACTTTCTTGTGTTTAGAGGAAAGTGTGTGCATTTGACAACTCATTACAGTATCAGAAATTGGGAGGAACCATGAAATTATATAGTATACTTTTCCTTCTCATGAAGGAAGGAGCTAATATTGCTTCAAAAATAAATACAATGAAAATACAAGATTGGAGGTTCAATAATGCTCTTTTTATAAGTGAGTCTCAGGTGAGTAACTGGGCAGACCTTTATTATATTAACTGTAAAGAACTCTATTACAACTACAGCCTCACAAATCTGATGCAAAATCACTTTAACTCGGTCTTAACAAATGGATTTATTTTTTTTTTCTTGAGAGAGTAAAATGGCATTCTATTCTTCAACAGAACGACCAAGAAATCTACTTCACATTTGGCCTATTTCCATGACCCTTGCAGCCTAAATATGTTTTTATTTTCAATGTTCACTTTAATTTATTAATTCAGCTTCAAATCTGTATAAAGAGAAATAAGGAAAGCTTATATTCTTATTGTCTAGGTAAACTTGAATACTCATAGTCATATGACAAATAATGCCTAATACAAGAAATCAACTTTCCTATATTATTAATAATGGAACTGTGTTTGTTATAGCACATGAACACACAGAAAATGAATACAGTGATATCTAAAAAGCTTATTACTCCTTGTTACGTGCACCGACATGTGGACAAAGTTTAAGATGTACAAAATACTAAAACCAATCAATCTTAAGTCAACACACTGAAAGCCAGAGGAACATTTATCTACATGTTTGGAAATTCAGCAGAGAGTGCAGGGTTACACTGAGAATAGAAAGTCATCAAAGCAGGCCAGTGAACAAAGAAAGAGCAAACAAGTACTCCCCAGAAGGGATTAGTGCTAGTTCAGGGGACTGTTTGCACTAACCTTGGATGGAAGCAGCAGCCCAAAAGCCAATCACTGTGACCTTCGCCTGTCATGATGATGTTCCCATCAGGAAAAGCCCACATTTTCCAGAGGTGGTCATCACTGCCAGTGACTATAATGTCTTTTTGGGGATGTAAAGCCAAGCTACAACAGGAAAGAAAGGCAGGTTATATTCTGTCTCAGTTCCATTTTATGTGAAATACACAGCAGTGAGATTCATTTAACTCAACAGCTACAGAGGATTCTGATTCTGGAGGGACTGAACAAGCAGCAACGCTTTCCCTGCTCGTAACAATTTAAATATATGCTATGTGGATGAGTTTCTGCTGTTACTGAAGAAAACAAAACACGACTGACTTCTGCGAAACCAGAATTGTTTTCACACTCTGTTGAAGTTCCAGTTGATTAAAACGCTCAAATATGTTTTAAAATACTTTGTTAGATTATGTTCTTACAAACATGCAACAGGATAATATATGAACAAGCAGAACCAATGTGAATCGCTTTTCCCCACACCCAAAATAACTTCAAAAGCCTTGGCTTATCAGCCTGCTGCTGATGGTCGAAGGGAAAAAGGACAAAAGGACTCTTTGCTCCTCCCCCTCCACCCCCCATTGTGTCCACAGATCTAATGTCTCCTACCACCTAGAAATAACTCAAATGATAATTACAGTACAGGAGCTACAATCTTTGCCATCACTTTAGCACCTATTCACTGGGACTAGCTCAGAAAACACATTTCAATTCTATACTCACAATGTGTTACATGTTTTCATTTTTTACTGTGTAGCACACAGGGACATAATAGAAATCATACACTTATCACCCCCCTATACTGAAAAAACAGTTTATTTTTGATTTTGCAACTGCAGTGCAGCTTAAAATGGATCCAGGGAAGAAAACAAATCTGTTGGAAAGATAACAAGTAGTTTATTTCATATGGATTTAGTTATTAGATTTAAATTATTGTAATGCTTTATTATTTGTTGAATATGAAAAAGTATCTAGGAGATGACTGAAATCCCAGGAGTAGATTATTTCAATAGATTAAATCTGGAGTTCAGAATCAAAATGCAACAATGGGGAGAGGAATCACAACTTGTGTGTGCCCCTATTTCAGTTGTGCATTAGAGCCGACAGTTTGCAGAGAAAAACGCTTATTAAAACAGACTCAGAGTAGAGAGAGACGATGCTAAGCAGCCAAATGTGAAGATAAGAGAGGTCTTAGAAGGCATACTACTATAAAAATCTCTTTTTTAATAGTACCTTTTTCCTGCACTCAAATCATTTCATAAAATTCCTAAACCAGAACCACAGCTTCTACTGTACTGGGAAAAATAATTCCCTCAATCAAATCCATGCTAAAACCCTATTTTTGTCAACTAGATTTTTATCAGAAAACACATCTATTCTTGCAGTTTAAGGCACAGTCTAGGAAGACTCCTACAGATTCATCAGTTCAATTCATCTGCTCGACCAAGGAGCTTGGTTTTTACTCATTCTCTAGTTCCTTAGAGGGGAAAAAAATGTTTTCTATCTTTGCCTAGAGAAGAAAAACTTCCTTTGCATTTATAGGGAGAAAAGAGAAGGGTGGAACAATGCTATTTAAATTCTCCAGAGATGCACAGAGAGCAATTGTATCACTTAGATTGGCCACAACAGATATCTAGAAGAGCAAGGAAGAAATAGAGATAAAAGGAGAAAATTAAAGGCTGAAAGAAGGCACGCCAGTGGCCTGCAAATTACAGGACGAGAACAACTCCCCCAGACTCCCTCTACTATCAGAGACCACTGACGCTCCAAAAATCCCAACATAACACTGTTTTCTGCAGCATACATAGGCACATAGCATTGCTATTCTGGGGACTGCTAAAAAGGAGGCCAGCTTCACAGAAAAATGAGCAGGCTAATAATTATAAAGATTAATCCATCAGGGCTGCTACACACTTCTTTCTGCCACTAAAACATAGAGGACCTTCGTTGCTGACATGCATCTGGCTGTGCAGCACACAGAAGTGAGACCAGTGCAGGAGCATCTTTTACTTGCTGGCAACAAGGTCCTGGGCTCCTCTGGCTGTAGCAAGGGAAAAAGAAACAGAAGTGGATTCAGGAAGACCAGCGAGGGAGGAGAAGATGCCTGCTGCAAAACCACTGACAGCACGTGCTGCTGCAGGAAGCTTAATCACCGATTCTGGCTTGTCTATGGTGCAGTTAAAAGGCTGGATTTTTCTGGTTTGGTAACAACTTTATCTTTGTGTTACTGGGAGAAAACAAACAAGCAAACAGTGTCGTACACACAGAGCTAACATTTTTCTCTTAATCTATTTCAGATACTTCAGATACCCTCCACTTTTTCCCTCCAGATATTTCTGCTGTTGAGTACATGCCTGCTGTGAAGACTTTCCATCAGTTCTTTCTTACATCCTTCCTAAGTATCTGCCTTCTTGTTCCCAAGATGTGTTATGCAGCCTTACTTACACCACCTTCAGTTCACCTTTCATTCAAAGCAAAGCTAATGTGGTTTCCTGCAGATCCTGACTTGCTTTCTGAGCAGTTCTTAACCTCCGGCTTGGCCATAGCTGCCTACAGATGTGAACTGTGCTGTTGTTCATCGTGCTTCAGCTCCCAGGAACATTTTTCCTGTCCTTACGCCTCCCTACACACTTCCAGTCCAACTTTTGCAACGTCCAAACTTCTTCTGTGACGACAGATTCCTAAAGAGCTTTGAGACAATCCATTAAGTGAATTTCATATGGAAGAAAATATCTTGCCATCAGAACGGAGCCTGCAAGTTTATTTTTCACAGGCTTTTAATTGTAGAGCTCTTGCAAAATGCTGCTGCTGTCCAGTGTTTTTTTTTCTCCATGCCATTTTTACAGGCATGCAGTGAACACTATTTAATTAACAGCAAATGTGTGACATAACCACTGTCGAGCTGCTTCTGAGAAAGGGAAGCCCATTCATCCAAAAGGCGTTCTATATGCAACATTAATTAGGCACCCTTGTCTTCATTTCTGGCAATCCAGCATTGTATAGATTTTTGCTTCATCTCTGTTCACAGGGTCTAATTATTTCCAGCACAGAAGACTTTGGGTAGATTGGAATGAAAATCAATAATGGAACATGTGTGATAGGAACATTAGTTTTCTCTTCCTCCTCCTCTGGGATAGAAGTAGGATAGGCAGAGACTCAGCCAAGAAAAAAAAAAAAACAAAAAAAAACCCCACACAACCAAAAAAACCTCTCAGAGATTTGCTGCTGTTGAGTATATCAATACCCATGTTTACACAACTCATTCTGGCATTATAAGACATTCTCATCTCTTCAGCACTTGCCATGGTAGATATATAGCGCTCCTAGTAATTTGCTTTCAAAACAATCATCGATTATTTTAATTTATTTTGACTGAACCATAAATAAAAATATGGTATCTTCAGATACAAAATACTTTCTGTCTCTGTGTGCACTACATTTGATCATTTCACACATATAAAATCAACTTCCAGGTTAAAAAGTGTTAAATCCAAAGCTGTTTGCATAACCTTAACTGTGTGTTTGTTTTGATAAAAACACCAACTACACTGCACTGAGGCAGGGGAGATTTTAGTTAGATGTAAAGGAAAGCCTCCTGGCAATAAGGTTACAGGCATCTGCCATCATTACCCTGTTCTTAAAGCTCTCAGCACACCTATCCCATATAACCTAGATAGATTACTTCCATCATGGTTAGGAGAACGGACTGGCTGGCGTCTTGAGGTTCCTTCAAGTCCTAAGGTAGCAATGTTCCTACTGAGCCCCGGTTCATTTGATGCCCAAAATAGACCATGCTTACATGTGAAGGGCAATTATAAAACAAACGGGAGCATCACCTCAAATCTTTGCTAAGGCTTAACAGTAGTTAAATCCAGTTGCACAGATGCCCGACAGTAAGGCATACAAAAGATCTTATAATTATAAATAATTTTAGTGGATAAAATATTTTACAAAATCACCAAATACTCAGCTTTTACTAGCTACCTACAGCTCTCGGTAGATTGTAGGAATAGGAGTCGTCCAGAATTGAAAAAAACTAACCTAGTCTCAAAACTAGATACTCTGAGAATAAATATTGCAAAATTGATGACCAGCTTAGAGCTCTTTAAGCGACTTATCTAGCCTCACCCAATTGCTCTGTGGCAGAAATAAGGACAAAATCCAGTTTTCTATGGTTTCACATATAGAAGTTATACAGAAAAGTATGTTCTCAATATAGACAGCATTTAGCTGCCAAATTCTAACACAGCATTGTACTGAATATCACTTGCAATACGTAATTTTTAGAACCTCGTGATTTGATCAAGTTTATTTGCATTCCCGGATACTGGCAAAGAGGATTGTTGTTAATGCCAGCAGCTGCTTTCAGACCAGAAAGCTCTTCTGCTGCACTTCCTGCTCCAAAATATGACAGCAGCAGAGCTCCTCCAAGATTAAAATACCAAACACATTTTTCTTGGTCACAGAAACATTTTAGTTAACATTTTCTTATACAAAAGTTCAGCCTTACTCAGATATCTAGCACAGGAAAACTTGGTCCGAGTGGTTACATTTCAGTGAAGTTATAAATTACTGAAAACCTCAGGTTTATAACAGAAACTGTTGGGAAATTGCAGATATTTCTTCCTCTACCCTCAGGCTCTCTAGGTGAGTTGGAATGGAAAAGCAGAGCGGGTTTTGAAGGCAAGGACAAAACACACACTGAATTCTAGAAGATGGCTACCGATGATGGCCTCAAACAAGACCAAGTATGTGCCTAAACACAAGGGCATCAACAGCCCTACAGTGATATCGTTTGCATGTATACACTTAATTATATTGCTGGACTCTGTCTTAAAAAAAAAATAAAAATCCAAAGAACTTGTAAAAGCTGAAACAGTATTCCAGTCCCAGTTTTGCTGGTCACCAGGCCAGTCGCACTGAGACCCAAGACAAGTTAACCAAACCATTAGGAACACTTTCTGTAGCAATGGATGAGCAGATTGCACATCCTAAGCCATGTTTTTCTACCTCCTGTAGTTGTAACAGCTCTTGAGGTAACACTCACCACCCCCCAGGTAGGTCCCAGGTGTGGCTGCTGCATGTGGAAGTCCTCACCTCTGCAATCACACTCCAACGA